CTGCGTCATTCTGCAAAACCTCACACACAGCCTTATTTGGTGTTTTTGGGGTGGTAATTATGCTAATCTCCTCTCACGAGCAGCTGGATAGAACAGGTGAATTTACGCAGCTCATTTACACACTTTTCCTGAAGATAGAAGAGTTTGTTGAATCTGACGTGACATGTTCGTACGAACCCTTTGTACGAACAAAAGTAAGAGAAATTTAGGAGAAGAATATGAACATGTTCTTGCATGAGGCCCAATGTGTGGTTCTTTTAGAAATCAGTTGTAAAAAAACTCCAATAAATTTAATCAGATGGACTAAAATACTGCTTGAACTTGTTCTGCATTGTCACAGTTCAGTGTCACAGTAAGAAACTGGACCCGGGAAAGCAGGTGGATACAAGAAGTTTGAGTTCAAATAAATACAACTTTAATTACAAAAAAAAAAAAAAAACTTAAAAAAAAAAGGACAACACAGAGAATGGACAGAGGAGAGCATGACGTCCTGAGGAATGCATAATGGTCCAGTGAGGAATGAACACAGGCTGATCAGCCATATGGACAGGGAGGAGTAGACCCACGTGGAATAATGTTAACAGCGAACAGGTGAGAGTGGGCAGGGCAGGAGCTAAGACTAACTGAGGGAATATAAACGAGTGACACAGAGAATCAATGAAACCAAACTGTTGACAAAGAAAACAGAAACCAAACAATAACAAAATGTAGACATAAAAATAAATCTCAGCAGAAAAATAAACAACAACGATCTTCTGACCTGCAGCAAGATGAACTGGACTGACCCCTGAATGTAAGTAATCTTCTGCCAACTGCAGGGTTGAAAATACAGCTGATCTCTGAGAAATGGCTGAGTGAATGAAGTGACAGAGCAGGAGAAAAAACTAACACAGGCATCTGATGATGCAGGACTGCCACCCTGACAAATCCCCAACAGGCTGATCACTGGACCAGCAAGACTTTCTGCTCAGGTCAGACTTATCCCAAAACCTTTGAACCCAGAAGGATCAGAACTTAGATTACTGAGAAATTCTTTGTTTTATTATGACCTACAAAGCTGAGATCTAATTCAGAGGGTTACAGAATGATAATCCTTTTCTGCTGTCTTTATCCTTCCTCTAAAGTTACACTCTGACAGGTTTGTTGCTCAGGCTGCACAGGTTTGTGTTCCTGAAGTATTTAACAATCAGACAAACCAAAGGCTAAACTCAGGATTCACGTCCTCGCTGAACAGCGGGGGCACCTAATCCATGAAGAGTTTGCATCCTTTTCTGTTCAGACAGCAGACAGATTCATTAAGGAAAGATTCACAAAGAAAGAAAACGGAAAGGAAGCTGACGGAGGTGAGAGGTCACACTTGAGCCGGGTCATGCTGAAAAGAAAGAACAGGCAGCTAGATAAAGTCAAATTACAAAACTAAATGATAAATGACGGAGGGTCAACTTTTTGTAACACTAAGTTAAAAAGTAAGATTTTTTGGGCAATGGTCCAAATAGACCATTAGTAATGTTACTGGTCATTGTAGCGTAGCAGCTTCTAAAATCCTCCATCTCACATTTCACTTGATCTTTTACGTTCTGAAACAGAAACTCTGTCACAGCTTTGCTTTTCAGGTCACAGATGAGGAAAAGTAGCGCGGTTTTTCCTGTATAGGTAGGTCTTCACCGTAGGAGGAAAAATAAAACCTTTTAGTTTTAGCATCTTAAGTGCTTCAGTTGACATGAACAATATGGGTTTGTTGAGAAGTCATCCTCCTTCCAACCTGGCTCTGCTAAAGCACCTCAAAAACTTCAACACTTCAACTGTGGTTTTTTTTTTTATTATTATTTTTTAAATTTATCATTCAATGTCAATTATCCAAAGTAAACACAAAAAAATTTAAATAATGAGTTTGAAGTATCGGAAGTTGGCGTCACCTCTGTAAAGTTTGAAATGACATTTGTGGAAGTATGTTAAACTTAAAGGTTTCCTGAACTAATTCTTAGTTCATGGGCTTTTACAGGCTGTTTAATATAAGGTCTTGATGCACTGTCAATGGCAACTCTGCAAATCCTGTCCCATCTATCTTTGAGGAACTGTGAGTTTTGCTTCATTTTTTCTTTCAATGTTTTTATCAAACTAGAAATACTCTGAACATCTTTGCTCCTCAAACAACAAGCCTGTCATCTATACTGACTGCGGACTAAATCAGGGTTACACTCAACTTTGCAAACAATAAACAAAAACTGCAAAATTTCTGAAAATATATTGAAGGGTGCCTCTAGGGTTGGGTAGTATTGATCACTTGTGTATCTTAATATAACCTTTAGAAAGTGCCATGCAGTGTAAATGGTGTATGAGCCAGAGTGAGGCAGATAAAAAAAAAATTGTCAAACAGATCAAAATAAGTTCAACTACATCTTTTAAAGCAGGGGTTCTTAACCTTTTTGACCTCGGGGCCCAATTTATTGAATATAAAATGGCACGAGGCCCAGTCACACATTACCAATGTACGGATCAAAATGATAATTATTCTAAATCTTGGTTCAGTTTTATTGTATTTACGTTATAACTAAATTAAATACACTTACAGTTTAAAAGTAAAACTCCTCTCAAATAATCACAAGACATGATTATGATAAACCATTTTTTATATTGTAACCTGCCCACAACAATTATTTGAACAAATACAAAAGGTCAGTCAACAGACCACTCAGGCTTATCA